CCATATACCAAGGGTGGCAGGTTCGAACCCCACCCCAGCCAAACTGGAACAAAAAAAAAAGCCAGGCAGGTACCTGTAGTCCCAGCCACTCTGGAGGCTGAGGCAAGAGAATCGGCTAAGCCCAAGAGATAGAGGTTGCTGTGAGCTGTGATGTCACAGCACTCTATTGAGGGCGACAAAGTAAGACTCTGTCTCTAAAAAATAAATAAATAAAAAGAATCTAGTATGATGATTCCTGTGGAATCCATTTAACTTTGAAGTTATAAAGAATATAGTTTGGGGGGGTGGCTCAAGGAGTAGGGCACTGACTGACCCCATATACCGGGGGTGATGGGTTCAAGCCTAGCCCCAGCCAAAACTGCAAAAAAAAAAGAATGTAGTTTGGGGCATGGTGCCCATAGCTCAGCAGTTAGGGCTCCAGCCACATATGCTGGAGCTGGGGGGTTAGAACCCGGCCCAGGCCTGCTAAAACAAAAATGACAACTACAACAAAAAAATAGCTGGGCATTGTGGTGGGCACCTATAGCCCCAGCTACTTAGGAGGCTGAGGCAAGAGAATCCCTTAAGCCCGAGTTTGAGGTTGCTGTGAGCTGTGATGCCATAGCACTCTACCGAGGGTGACATAATAGAACTGTCTAAAAAAAAAGAATATAGTAAGGTGGTGGCACACACCTGTAGTCCCAGCAATCAGAAGGCTAAGACAGGAAGATCACTTAAGCCAAAGAGCTGGAGGTGTAGAGTCATCATGATGATGATGTCAGAGTTTAAGACTAGTCTGAGCAACATAGCAAAATCTTGTGTGTATAAAAAATAAACTTAAGAATTAGCCAGGCGTGGTGACACACAACTGTAGTCTCAGCAATTTGGGAGGCTAAGGCAGGAGGATTGCTTTAGTCTAGCAGTTTGAGATTGTAGTGAGCTATGATTGCACCACTACACTCTAGCCAGGCAACAGAGCAAGACCCTATCTCTAAAAAAAAAAAAATTACATCGTTTGGCCTGGCATGGTGGTGGGAATGTGTAGTCCCAGCACTCAGGAGGCTGAGGCAAAAGCCTCAGTTGAACTCAGGAGTTTGAGGTTGCCTTGAGCTAGGCTGAAGCCATACCACTCAAGCCTGGAACAACAGAGTAAGAATCTGTCTTTTTATATATATGTGTGTGTATATGTATACAAATATATGGTTTGCGATTTATGAGCAAGAACCATATTGTATGTGTGTTTCTTTTTCTTTCTTTCTTTCTTTTTTTTCTTGAGACAGAGTCTCACTATGTCCCCCTCGGTAGAGTGCTGTGGCGTCATAGCTCATAGCAACCTCAAACTCTTGGGCTTAAGCAATTCTCCTGCCTCAGCCTCCCAAGTAAGCTGGGACTACAGGCGCTGCCATAACCCCTGGCTATTTTTTTGTTGTAGTTGTCGTTGTCTAGCAGGCTTGGGCCAGGTTCGAACCCACTAGCCCTGGTGTATCTGGCTGGCATCCTAACCACTGAGCATAGGCACAGAGAGTTTTAAACAGTGGGAGGTGGCGCCTGTAGCTCAGTGAGTAGGGCACAGACCACATACACCAAGATTAGTGGGTTTGAGCCCGGCCTAGGCCTGCTGAACAACAATGACAACTGCAACCAAAAGATAGCTGGGCACTGCAGCCAGTGCCTGTATCCCCAGTTACCTGGGAGGCTGAGGCAAGAGAATTGCTTAAGCCCAAGAGTTTGAGGCTGCTGTGAGCTGTGACACCATGGCACTCTACCAAGGGGGACATAGTGAGACTCTGCCTAAAAAAAATAAATAAATAAATAAAAATAAATAAAACAGTGGGAGTCAGTGCCTAGTTTGGGTGAGGTACCAGTGGGAGCCACTTTGATGCAGAGTAGATTTTGTTTAGGCTCCCAAGACTAGCATGATGTCACCAGCTCCATCTTCTGGCCTGAAATGGGAGTAGCTCTTTATTGCTGGGGGTGAAGGCCATCTGTGTGACGGTGATACAAACTGTCCTTGTAGTCTTCCAGGCCAGGACTTACTTTAGTGGGCAGCACCTACTGAGTGAATTCATTTAGCAAAATACATAAGAATAGAGCTTACTCTCCAATGCTGTTTTACAACTATAAAGCTCCAGCTTGGGCCAGTCACTTAAGGTTTGACAATGAGCACTCTGTTTCCTATCCATAAATGCCGAAAGGCTGGAACTTTTTTGTCAAACCTAAACAAATTCACCCTATTTCACTTGGTCATATATTTAACATTGTTTATCTCATTCTCTTTGACCCAACAATTCCACTTCTAGGAATTTATCTTGTAACTTGCACATATGCAAAATGATATATGCCCATAATATTCATTTTGTAATTGCAAATGACTGGAAGTGAACTAAATGTTCGATAAACAACTAGTCAGATAACTATAGTACATTTATTGAATTGAATACTATACAATAGTAAAAAAGAAAGGGAAGCTGTTATGGGATACATTCTAAAAAAAATTTATTTTTTTTTTTTGAGACAGAGTCTCACTATGCTGCCCTCAGTAGAATGCTGTGGTGTCACAGCTCACAGCAACCTCAAATTCTTGGGCTTAAGCGATTCTCTTGCCTCAGCCTCCCAAGTAGCTGGGACTACAAGCGCCTGCCACAACACCTGGCTATTTTTTTTGTTGTAGTTGTCGTTGTTTAGCAGACCCAGGCTGGGTTTGAACACACCTGCCCCAGTGTATATGGCCAACGCCCTAACCACTGGGCTATAGGCACCGAGCCGCAGGCAGACCTTTTGAGTCTAGGCGTTGGAGTAAGCTATGATGATGCCATTACCCTCTGGCTTAGGCAACAGAGTGAGACTCTCTCTCAAAAAAATAAATACACTAGAATAGGATAAAATGAACTTAAATCCATTTATTTTTCCTCCTTTAGGAAATATATCCTTTTCTCAATGCTGCCTTCATAAAGAAACTGATCACCAAGAGCTCCCACTTCCTACCCTACCTTTCCACTATCCCAATGGACTCCCCCTTTACTGAAGAGACCCAGGTAGTGACTGTGAACCACTGAAAAGAGGTGGGAAGAGACTCATTCATCACACCTGTTACTAAACCTGCCTAGTCATAGCCCATCCCCTGCTCTAAACATGTCTACATATCCACAAATGCCTTTTCCATGGGCTTTTCACAAGGAAGGTGAAAGAGAAGGAAACCTTAGGAGGAGGATTTTTTCATTGTTCTGGCTGGTTTGAAATGCACAAATAAACTTCAGATTTGGTTCCTTGCCATGTGTGATGTTGTTGAATTCCTTTTTGTAATAGTATCACAATGCCAGCTCTGGGCATTCTCACCACCTTCAATTGGGAAGGAGCAACCAGAGAGAAAATGAAAGCCCAAAGAAGGACACTTGCAATTGTCTTTCAGGGAAGAATCCGTCTCTGGAACCTAGGTCTGCTGGTTTCTGGTAGGCTTCTCAGTCTTCCTTTCGTTGGCTATTTGGTTATTTTTTCTTATGTATTAAATCTCTGAAATGAGACAGAACCAGAAGCAAGACCTTGGAGTCAACACATTAGAAAGTTCCTCTTCGGGCCTCGGGTTACTTAACAACCCTCTGTGTCCTGCACTACAAGTCCCAGGTAGTTGCTAAGAAAGTGCTTTGAGGAGGGTTTGAGTACGGATACAAGGCTTTCTGTTTTCTTTCTGGTAGCTTATACCTAGCACTCAGGCTACTTGTGCATTGAAAAGACAGCTAAACATAATGATTAAGAATAATGGCCAGGCATGATTGGCTCATGCCTGTAATCTGAGCACTTGGGAGGCTGAGGCAGGAGGATCCCTTGAGCTCAGGAGTTCAAGACCAGCCTGAGAAAGAGTGAGACTCTGTCTCTACTAAAAATAGAAAAGAAAAAAAAATACATATAACATCTACTATTAGCTCTTTAAGATCACTATATATTATATATATATATTTCTATATATTTTATATATTATATAAAATTTGTATGTGTATAAAAGGTCTGCAACCAGACAGCCTTAGAATAAATCCCAGTTCCCTGTTCCCTGTATTCTCGTTTTAGACATTTTAAGCCTCAGTTTCCTCATTTTAGAAGTATACTCTATTTCATTAGGTCATTAGGTAACTAGAGAGGTTAAAGAATTTAACAAGTATAGCTGGGTGAGGTGGCTCACGTCTGTCATCCCAGCACTGTGGGAGGCTACGAAGGGAGAATTGCTTAAGCTCAGGAGTTCAAGACTTGCCTGAGTGAGAGCAAGACCCTGACTCATTAAAAAAAAAAAAAAAAAAAACAGCTGGACACCACAACAAGGGCCTGTAAAGCCAGTGACTTCCAGTGGCTCAGGCAGCAGGATGCCCACAGCCCAAGTCTGAGGTTGCAGTGAGCTATGACACCATTGCACTCTGCTCAGGGCATAAGGTAAGACTCTGTCTCAACAACAACAACAACAAAAAGAATTTAACAATTATAACATATTTAGAACAATGCCTGGCATGTAGTGACTGCTCAATAATGGTTAGCTGTTATTATTACCTGACTCTCTGAAAAATTTCAAAGATAAGCAACTGAGCAGCTATAAAAACGTCTGTTCATAGCAGTCCTGGATTGGTAGTAGCCTTCCTCTCCTCTGTAATGACCACAGTCCTCTGTAGCTGCAGAGTCAGGCACTCATATCACCACAAGAGGGAAATCAGGGAGCAAAGAGGGATGTCAGTGGATTTCAAGTTTAAAAAAAAAAAAGAAACTATTCATTTCCAGATTTTCTGACTCAGGAATAAAAAAAGGAAGACCTCTTGTGTATGACAGATAAAGACATGGGTAGAAAAAATGATAATTTAAGCTTAGGAAGAAAAAGAAACAAGCGATGTAAAAGGCAATATAGATAGAAGCATTGGTAATGTCCCTTCCACTTTACATAGGGTGCTAAAGAAGAAGAAACCACTAGGTGGCAGCATATGAGCAGGTGAACCAAAGAGAACTAATGGCCTTCTGTTTTAGGAACCTTTGCACCAATCCCAGGCCACAGGTAAGAACAAAGGGCATTGTTCTAGAGTGTTGTTTTGTTTTGTTTTGTTTTTTTGAGACAGAGCCTCAAGCTTTCCCCCTGGGTAGAGTGCTATGGCATCACAGCTCACAGCAACCTCCAACGCCTGGGCTCAAGCAAGTCTCCTGCCTCAGCCTCCCAAGTAGCTAGGACCACAGGCGCCCACCACAACGAAAAGACAACTTTTTTTTTTTGCAGTTTTTTGGCTGGGGCTGGGTTTGAACCCACCACCAGCATATGGAGGTGGCGCCCTACTCCTTTGAGCTACAGGCACTGCCCCTGTTCTAGAGTGTTTAACAGAGGCACCCACGTCTAGAAGGCCGGGTGGCTAAGAGGTGGAAATACCACTGTGCAACTGCTCTGTGACTGAGAGACACCAGAAAAGGGGATACCAGAAGAGGAAGAGCAGGGGCAGGATGAGAAGGAGTTGAAAAAGGAACCAAGGTCAAGGTAACTTCTTCACACTTTACACAGTTCTATGCTGTCTAATTAACATAGCCATTGGATTCCAGCATTTAGAACAAAATGGTTCTTTCTCTACATGTAGGCCCAGAGAAATATGGTACCCTATGGTACCAGGAACACTGGTACACTGGTTCCACACTGGAACACTCAGACCCCTGACCCTTCTGGCTATAAAACTTCATGGAAGCTAGGCCTAGGTGGCTCATGCATGTAATCCTCAGCACTTGGGAGGCCGAGGCTGGTAAATTGCCTGATCTCACAAGTTCGAGACCAGCCTGAGCCAGAGCGAGACCCTGTCTCTACTAAAAATAGAAAAAGTAGTGGGGCGTTGTAGCTGGCACCTGTAGTCCCGACCACTGGGAAGCTGAGGCAAGAGGATTGCGTGAGCCCAAGAGGTTGAGGTTGCTGTGAGCTATGACACTACAGCACTCTACTCTGGGCAACAGAGTGAGAGTATGTCTCAAAACAAATAACAACAACAAAAACTTGATGTTAAAAGAAATTAAGTTAGCCCTAAAAGATATAAACAAATAGACTGGAAATCTGTCTGTTCTGCAGCTATTCTAGCTATCTCTGACTTTCTTGTAATATGCAAAAAAAAATGATAGAACTCTGACCCCACATCTCTGTTGGGGGTAGTTCTAAAGGAGACCTTTTGGAAGCAGCAGATTCCTACAGTCTGTTGGAATTAAACCTTACCCAACAAAATTGCTCCCCACTCAACAGACTCAACAGCTTCTATCTTCACCAAAGCCTCAGATGGCAAGAGATTAATCAGATTACCCTTTTCAGTTTGATTCCACTAACCAAATACCTACCTCGCTGCCGGTCACTGACTGGATAACTGGGGCATTAGACCACTTAACTACATTATGTGTAGGGTGGCTTCTTAATCACCACCAATTGTTCTGGCAAGTTAAACAGGAGAAGGATGGACATGAGAGGTTTTTTCTTCCTTGATTTTATTATGTAAAAAGGGGAAAAAGATAACTAAGATCCTAAATTTATTTATTTATTTGAGACAGAGTTTCACTATGTCACCTTTGGTAGAGTGCTATGGAATCATAGTTCACAGCAACCTCAAACTCTTGGGTTTAAGCAATTCTCCTGCCTCAGCCTCCCAATAGCTGGAAGTACAGGCACCCAGGGAAATTTTTGGTTGTAGTTGTCATTGCTGTTTAGCAGGCCAGGGCCAGGCTCAAACCCACAAGCCTTGGTATATGTGGCTGGCACCCTACTCACTGAGCTATGGGCGCCGAGCCAACATCGGGCTATTTTCTGTTACAGTTGTCATTATTGTTTAGCTGGCCCAGGCCGGGTTCAAACTCGCCAGCTTCAGTGTATGTGGCTGTCACCGTAACCACTATGATATGAGCGCTGAGCCTATTTATTTTAATTTATTTATTTTTTTATCTTTGAGACAGAATCTCAAGCTGTTGCGCTAGGTAGAGTGCTGTGGCATCATAACTCATAGCAACCTCCAACTCTTGGGCTTAAGTGATCCTCTTGCCTCAGTTTTTCTATTTTTATTTATTTAAGAGACAGAGTTTCACTTTGTTGCCCTCAGTAGAGTGCCGTGGTGTAACAGCTCATAGTAACCGCCAGCTCTTGGGCTTAGGTGATTCTCTTGCCTCAGCCTCCCAAGCAGCTGGGACCACTGGTGCCTGCCATGATGCCCGGCTATTTTTTGGTTGTAGTTATCATCGTTTGGCAGGCCTGGGCCAGATTCTAACCCGCCAGCTCTGGTGTATGTGGCTGGTACCTTATCCGCTTGAGCTATAGGTACCACCCTAAAATCCTAAATTTAGAAGTAAATATACATCTGCGGCCACAGGCCATGAGAGAGCAGTGGTCCCTGACTATACAGAAGAAAAAATAAAGTAACTGGCCTTTTTGCCTGAGCGAGCAAATGGTCACCTTTATTTAAAATACCCCAAAAAAACCCCGCATATATATACACACACACACACACATCTGCCCTTCACAGATAAATAATCAATTACACAGAATTTGATGATATCTAATGGATAATCTAATCTAGGGGTGGTACAACTTGGCCTGCATTGTCCAACCTGATATCTTAGAATATTAAATACTCTGAAAGCACTATTTCAGCTACATTTCATAAAAAATACATTTTCTCTAGTGTTTTCTCTGTCATTCATATAACAAAATAGTATTTATAGACACTGTTTTGCCATTACCTCAATTTTTTTTTTTTT